ACATCGAAATTGGAGCCATTCACTTGGCTCGGATCCGAACAATTCCAACACCGTTGGTCTAGTGGTAGAATACACCCCTGCCACGGGTGAGACCCGAGTTCGATTCTCGGACGGTGTAGATCAAATCTACAAACAGTACAGCATCACAGCTGTGCGATGTCCTCTTTTTGTCAAAATTGGAGCCATTTCTTTTTGTCAGTGTTGTTGTTGCTTGCGCCCTCGTTTCCTCAATAGAATGTTCTAGAATATTCTAAGACAGGCGGAATTTGGAAAAGTCCATTTCAGGGTTCAGGGTTCAGGGTTCAGGGTTCAGGGTTCAGGGTTCAGGGTTCAGGGTTGAGCGTTGAGGATGTAGGGTTTAGGGTTTAGGGGTTTTGGTTTAGGGTTCAGGGTTTAGGGTTTAGGGTTGAGGTTTCAGGGTTTAGGGTCCAGGGCTGAGGGTTTAGGGTTTAGGGTTCAGGGTTTAGGGCTGAGGGCTGAGGGTCTAGGTTTTAGGGTTTAGGGTTCAGGGTTGAGGTTTCAGGGTGTAGAATTCAGGGTTTAGGGTGTAGAGTTTAGGGTTTAGGATTAAGGTTTAGGGTCCAGGTCATAGTGTTCAGGGTCAAGTTTGTCGTGCATAGGGTTTTGGATTCAGGTTTGATGGGTTAGGGTTTAGAATTCAGGGTTTAGGGTTTAGGGTTTAGGGTTTGGGGTTTAGGGTTTAGGGTTTGGATTTTGGAGTTTAGGATTTAGGGTTTAGGGTTTGGGGTTTAGGGTTTAGGGTTTAGGGTTTAGGGTTTAGGGTTTAGGGTTTAGGGTTCAGGGTTGAGGGTTTCGTGTTCAGTGTTGAGGGTTGAGGGTATAAGGTTCAGGTTTCAGGGTTTGGGGTTTAGTGTTTAGGGTTTAGGGTTTTGGGTTTTGGGTTTTGGGTTTAGGGTGTAGGGTGTAGGGTGTAGGGCTTAGGGTTTAGGGTGGAGGGTCTAGGATTTGGGATTAAAGGTTCAGGGTTCAGGGTTTAGGGTTCAGGGTTTAGGGTTTAGGGTTTAGGGTTTAGGGTTTAGGGTTTAGGTTTCAGATTCTAGGGTCCAGGTTTTAGGGCTTAGGGTTGAGGGTTGAGGTTTCAGGGTGTAGGATTCAGGGTTTACGGTATCTTGTTTCTGGTTTCTGGTTTCGGGGTTCTGGTTTCGGATTTCGGGTCCAGGGTTTAGGGTTTAGGGTGCAGGGTGCAGGGCATATGGTTTAGGGCTTAGGGCTTAGGGTTTAGGGTTTAGGGTGTAGGGTGTAGGGTAGAGGGTGGAGGGTTTCGGGTGGAGGGCTTAGGGCGGAGGGTTTAGGGTGGAGGGTTTAGGGTGCAGGGCCTAGGATTTGCAATTAAATGTCCAGGGTTTAGGGTTTACGGTTTGGGGTTGATGGTTGAGGGTTGATGGTTGAGGGTTTAGGTTTCAGGGTTTGGGGTTTCAGGGTTTAGGGTGAGGGTTTCAGGTTTCAGGGTTTAGGGAGTAGGGTGTAGGGTTTAGGGTTTGGAGTTTGGGGTCTAGTGTTTAGGGTTTAGGTTTGACGGTTCAGGGTTCAGGGTGCAGGGCTCAGGGTTTAAGGTTTAGGGCCTAGGATTTAGGATTTAGGATTTAGGATGAGGGTGTATGTTGCAGGGTTTGGGGTGTATGTTTTAGGGATTGGGGATCAGGCACCAAGCACCCATCCTGGACAGCGCACTCTACACCTAGACATCAACCCCTCTTCCTGGAATTGAAACCCTATCCTTAGACAACAGACCCTATTCCCGACAACAAACCGTATGCCTAGGCATCAAAACCGATGCCCAGACACCAGACCATGTTCCTAGGCAGCAAACCCAACGCACAGCAGCAGCAGCGTACAGCAGCGCGGCAGCAGCAGCTGGGAGCACAGATGCGATCGCAAGGGTTCTGAACCCGCAGCAGGCCCCCCGTCTTAGCAGAGCCTAACATAGCGCTGGTGGGCATGCTGACCAGGTGAGAACGGCCCGCAGCACCCCACGCCCGTAGGACCCTCCCCCCACACCCTGAGAGCGCACCGGCAATCGCATTCCTCTCAGAGATCCCAGCCTCCCTGTACCTTCCCGAGCTCAGCAGAGACCAAGCCAGCTCTGCGGAGGATTATCAGGGGGTGGGCGGCCTCCCTCATCACCCCCTGGCCAAGGAATCCCCGCCCAACCCCCGCCACCCAAAAGCGCAGAACTGGCACCTGGGAGCGCACCCATTCTCGCGTGCATCCCAGCACCCCAGCACCAAACCGAGCTCAGCAGAGACCAAGACAGCTCTGCGGAGGACGATGAGGTGGTGGGCAACCCCCATCAACCCCCGACTACGGAATCCCCGCCCAACCCCCGCCACCCAAACGCGCAGATCCGGCACCTGGGAGCGCACCCATTCTCGCGTCCATCCCAGCACCCCAGCACCAAACCGAGCGCAGCCAAGAACAGGACGGCTATGGTGGGGGGTCGGAGGTGGTGGGCAACCCCCCAATCGGCCTCCAGCGACGGGACCCCCCCCCGCAGTGTGCGCAGTGGATCTCAAGACAAACTCTTGCCCGGGAAGTGGAGTGGGGGGGCGGCAGCAGCGCGCAGAGGGTATGGAAGCACACCCGGGGGGGTTCTTCACTGCCCGCGTGCAGAGCATGCTCAGGGAGCCCCCCCCCCCCCCCGCCCCCCTCCCCGCAGACACGTTGCTTCCCCCACCCTTGGATCCTCAATTCTGGTCATTTTTTTCAGATCTGACATTTCTGGTCAAAATTTTCAGATCTGACATTTTTGGTCTGAGGTCCTGGGATCCTAATTTATTGTCGATCTGGGCTTCGCGCGGAATCGAGGTCAGGTCAGGAAATCAGGAATTTCCCCAAAAAATGGACTTTTATGCTATCTTAGGCATGGTTTTTATCTCAAAATAGCATCTCTCACCCATAAGATGACACAAAAAGACAAAAAAATGAAAAAATGTTGCTGACCTGACCTCGATTTTTTCCGCGCGGAGCCCAGATCGACAATACTAATACGTCGTACGAAGGCTATCCACTCGTACGAGCTCGTACCTATCAATTATGTCAGATCTGACATTTTTAAGGGGTGGGCGGAGGGTTGGGCATCTGACATTTCTTATCTGTCAATTATGCCAGATCTGACATTTTTAAGGGGTGGTGTGGAATTTAGGTTTGGAGTTTGGGGTTACGAGCTCGTAGGGTTTATTTAATTAAGTTAGGGTTTACGGTTAAGATTTACGGTTTACGGTTTTTAGGGTGCAGGGTCTGGGGGGACCTCGCGTCTGCCAACTGGTATGTAAACCGCGAAAATAATTGACTAATCATCGAGCCTGAACCGGCTGCTCGTCTAGAGCTTCGGGGATTTGGTATAGTGGTATTATGCACGCTTCGGGTGCGTGAGGTCCCGAGTTCGATTCTCGGAATCCCCCTGAACAACCCTCAGGGCCCAGCTTGGCTGGGAGTGTCTCATGACCCAGGCTCATACCTTTTTACACTTCGGCGCGCGCCTTTTTGCTGCAATTTTTTTGCACCAGACCCCCAACCCCCAAACCCCAAACCAAACCCCCAAACCACCTACCCCTCTGACTAATTCAGAGGATTCGCTCACCTGCCACACATCGGACATCGGTCCGGTGTACCCCGCATTCGTGGCCGAGCGGTTAAGGCGGTAGACTCGAAATCTACTGGGGTATCCCCGCGCAGGTTCAAATCCTGCCGAATGCGCATCAACCTCCTCGAAGGAGACATCTTTTTAGCTTTTTGGTCTGCCACGCAAGACACAGGAGAAATAGTCGAATATCCCTCGAATTAGTCGAATTCGACTATTTCTTAAGTTCATAAGTGGACATTCTTCCCACAGAAAAATCGAAATTTCGGAAAGTTCTACAAATTCCGTGTGAACTGGCTTGTTTTCCCAGGTCAGCCCTACACTCTTGCGTGGTGAGGAGGTTGGTCTCTTCCCCTCTCTCCTGGGCGATCGGAGGTCCCATCAATCCAATTCCCGTGAGCCGAGGCGGGCCGCCACCTTTTTTTTTACTTCCTCACGTGACAAGTTCACGTGACAAATTTTCAAGGGGGAGTCATGTAGGGAAAGATCAGACTCACCCTGCATGAAAACACGTCGTTCCTGCTTTTGTGGTGCAGTTGGTTAACACGTCCGCCTCACACGCGGAAGATCCCCAGTTCGAGCCTGGGCAGAAGTACAACAGCGACGCTGCTTTTTCTCCGGGGATTCACATTCCTGGTCGTTTCTTGGTCTGCTGGCCTAATGGATAAGGCACCCGCCTCCGGAGCGGGAGATTCACGGTTCGAGTCCGTGGTAGATCAGAAATTCTTTTTTGCCGTTTTTTTAGCAGATTTTGTTTTGCACCGGCAAGCACTGGGACCCACCGTCCCCGAACCCTCAAACCCGAACCCGTCCTGAGGCGGGCCTTAACCCAGAAGAAAAATCAACTTTTTGACCAGACACGCAAATGGCTCAACGCACTAAGAAATTCAGACCATCATTTTCAACAAACACCTCCTGTGTACATAGTACATGTAATCAGTAATAATCAGTAATTCTCCTGCTGCCTCTCGTGGCAGACCAAGCTCGCTGCACAGCTAGAGCAAGACACCCGACGTCGTCGATCCACAGGGTGGTTGGGTGCGAGGACAGGGGCCTCTCTCCAGTCTACTAACTGAAATGGGCAGGAGCGGGGAGCTCATCCGTACAGGGGTACCTCGCTCATACGAAACCGCCCCCCCCTAGGGCCCTACAGTAGGGGCATGCCCAGGGCCATACGGCGGTCCTATGGGGGGGGTTGTTTCTTATGAGCGAGGTACCCCTGTAGATCGTGCCCTCAAGAGTGGCGGGGGCGTGCTCTCCGATGCGAGTGTAATAATACGAAGTACCAAACAGGCTGTTTGAAACAGCACCACCGCCGAGAGTCGGGGTTGACGCCACTCCACCATCTCAGCACTCGTCTCCTGAACCCTGAGTAAAGCGGCTTTTTGACCAGAAATACCATTTCCCAAACTTTGTCCAGTCTGAACGGGCTGGAGCGGGGAGCTCAGTAGATTATTGCGCCAATCCAACGTGAGTGCAATACAAAGCACCAACGCACCAAAGTCGAGAGAGACCTTCATCACTATCAACACGGCCGCCATGTATGCACCTCAGCCGAGGCCACCACCGCCGAGAGTCGGGTTTGGCACCACGCCCCACCATTTGTCAAACTTTGAGGGCCACCGCGAGATCCCTTGCTCGATCGACAAACCGTGGAGAACAATCCTGAACCCTGCACCCTACACCCTACCCCCTACCGGTACCCCCTACGCCCTGCACCCTACACCCTGCACCCTACACCCTACGCCCTACGCCCTACGCCCTGCGCCCTGCACCCCACACCCTACACCCTACGCCCTGCACCCTGCACCCTGCACCCTACAATCTACACCCCACACCCAGCGCCCAGCGCCCTGCGCCCTGCGC